GAGTGGGATTTTATTTTGGTCTTTTTTTTTCTTCTTAACAACATTTACAACACAAACAGGTCGTAGAAGTGGGACACAGTTGAGGCGTTACTAGAGCGTAATAAACAAAGGAAAGGAGGAGGGGAGATTAGGACGATAAATGTTGGATGGGAAACAGAGCAAACCCAACCAACAGTGCCCACCACTTATGTTTGTCTGTTTGTTTGTCTGTTTGTTTGTTTTCTCTTGGAGAAAATAGGAACACATCAACACAACAAGTGATGTAAAAATGTACAAAAACTAATAACAAACACACACACAAATATGCACACAGACAAACACACACATAAACCAAGTAAACAAACACACACACAAATATGCACACAGACAAACACACACATAAACAAGTAAATAAACTCACAAACACACAAACAAACAAATACTCAATTGAAACATACAAACACACACACACATAAACTAGTAAACAAACTCATAAACAAGCAAAAAAAATACACACGAACACAGACAAACACACAAACACAAACACACTCACAAACACACTCACGAACACACTCAATCAAACACACACAAACAAACACATACAAACACACACAAACAAACACACACAAACAGACTCACAAACACACTCAATCAAACACACACAAACAAACACACTCACAAACACACACAAACACACTCACAAACACTCAATCAAACACACACATACACACTCACACAAACACACACACCAACACACACACACACACAAACAAACGCAAACACTCGCACAAACGAACACAAACACATACACACTCAAACAAACACACAAACACACATTCACAAACACACACACAAACACATAAACAAACACAAACACATAAACACACTGACAAACACATACTCACAAACACACACACACACACACGCAGACACACACACAAACAAACCAGCTAACAACAGAGTTTTGTGTACCTCCGCAGTGGCTTCGTCTCCGACCGGCGCGATACCTTCCACATTGAGCCGGTCTCAGAGAGAGTGGTGAGGGTGTATAGAGACCGTGATCAGAGGCAGCTGTCTTTTAGATGTGGTGAGTTCTGTGTGTGTGTGTGTGTGTATGTGTGTGTGTCTGTGTGTGTATGTGTGTGTGTGTCTGTCACTGAGAGAGAAGTGAGGGTGTATAGAGACAAAGATCAGAGGCAGTTGTCTTTTAGATGTGGTGAGTTCTCTCTGTCTGTCTGTCTGTCTGTCTGTCTGTTTGTCTGTCTGTCTCTCTCTCTCTCTGTCTCTCTCTCTCTCTCTCTCTCTCTCTCTCTCTCTCTCTGTGTCTCTTTGTGTGTCTCTCTCTCTGTGTCTCTCTCTG